TAACAAAATGCCCCCCCCCCCACATGACTACAAATTGGCTTCCTGCATTCAACTAACTTTGATTTGATGGACAAAAAAGTTTTTCAAATAAGCCCATTAAAGATATTTGCAAACAAAATTGCTTCATTTGCCATTGGTTATTTAAAAAATAATAACAATAGTATATGTAATTTTATAATGATTTCAAAAATAATATAGGCCTACTAATATGCTACACATTTTTATGAATTGCATTTTTTATGTATTTATATAATTTTTGAATAAGGTTTAAAATGACTCCTATATTTTTATATGAATATATATATATTTGTGGTAAATGGCAAAAAGTTCCACATGTATTTAAATGTATTAGTTGTTTTTTTTTACAAATAAAATACATGAAATGCCTCTAAAAAGCTTTTCAAATAAATGAATAAATAAATGTGTTATATTAACTTTGCCATGATCAAACGCCTATTTATTTATTCATTTATTTATATGAAATGCTTTTTTTAGAAGCATTTCATGTATTGCACTGTAAAATGTTTCCTTTTTTTTAAAGAAGTAAATAAAACAAAGATAATTGGAAGATATTTTACAAGAAAATACTGTTTCAATCTTTCAACTTAAACAATTCACGTTTGTATTACTTGCCTTTTTCCTAATTATTTGTGAAATAATGTTTGAGTGAAAATCCAGTGCCTAATATCGAAAAGACAGAGTTACAGTCGGAATAATATATTTCATTAACCTTTCAGAATCTATTACGAAACAATTATCTCCATATCCTGCTGCATAAGCAAAATATTTCTCTAAAACGAAAGCAACTACAACCGCGATCAATCTGTCTGTACTAAACACCATTCTGTTCCTGAACGCTCTCTCAGCTAGTATGCACTGCACATGACAGATACAGCTACACATCAGAAGGATGCGCATTTGGTGCTCTCGCTTTCCCTTATTCAACCAAACTGAACCACTCCGCCATTTAAGGATCCATCTGGAGATGCGAGGCAGCTGCATTCATGTTAAAAGCACGGGCACTTCCTGGGCAGATCAGTTCACAGCTGGAGCTTTACGCTATGGAATATTATGCACTGGCGATCAATCACAGGGGTGAGGCTTTGCCAAAACGCATTTATTAAGCTCATCTCTAGAACTAGAAGGCAGAGAGTTATGCAAACATCCCTTCAATTCTATCTTCATCACGCATATAAATAACAAACCGAGCAGAATAAAATAAAATCGCAGAGGTCTGTCGACAAAGCCCTGCGTAATTCCTCAAACGTCCGTGCAGAATAAGGGCGTTCCTGTGATGGTCCATCTTTACACTGGTGCATCAAGCGTTTTTGGTGTTAGTCTGGTTCTCGTGCCACCTATTAATAATTTAAACAACATACACTGAGAATAAAACCTATTCGTGTCATGATGCACAATGCGCATCCGCAACATCCCTAGAGTAATGTCCACCCCGTTCAGCGCAATGGCAGGGAAACAACCAGTCGCATCCAGGATGAACACTAATGACACATGTAACGGGAAGGTACCATAAAATAGCACCAACATATGGTTAAATATATGACCTCAAAGTAGCCGAGGATTAATATTATGGTCTTACTTTCGCCAACGACCGCCTTTAATCCAATTGGTGCCATGATGCTCCTGAGTGTTCGCCCGTGTGCTGTATCTTCTCCTCCCTCTCCTCCTCTTGCTGTCTCTGGCAGAGCGGAGCGGTGCTGCGCACTCACAGCAGCTGACTGCGGAGATTCGTCACTGCGTAACCGCCCCTCCCTCACATGCGCTCATGCTACCGACCGAGCGCCGTTATATGCTGCGCGCTTTCCAAACGCTTAGGGCGCAGACACAGAATCACAAGTGAAGCCTTTCTTGATTTCACGCTGATTTGTTCATGCCATGATCAGTGGAGGCTGTAAAATATCCTTGCAACTGTTTCCACTGTTCACTGGCCGCTACGTGACAAAATTAGAGAAGCAACTAAAGGTTTAAAGGGGTCATATGATGCTGCTAAAAAGAACATTATTTTGTGTATTTGGTGTAATGAAATGTGTTTATGCGGTTTAAAGTAAAAAAAAACGCGTCGATTTTTACAAAGCTCATCGGTCTGAAAAAGCGAGGTGTGCTGTGATTGGCCAGCTATCCAGTGCGTTGTGATTGGCCGAATACCTCAAGCGTGAGACGGAAATGTTACGCCCCTCACCATACTGTTGTATTCCCTCAGCGACCATTAGTCTTTGCAACTTTACAGATCTTCTTTATGCACCAAGAGCTTGTAACACTCCAAAGAGAAAGGAACAATTGAAATTGCATCATATGACCCTTTAATATTTTACACTGAATTTTAATTTCACTACCAAACAAAACAGATTTAGTTTAGTTAATCAAAAATTCAACATAAATTGTTAGCATACTAATTATAAAATAAAATAAAGCTATTATTTTACATTTTACCGTTGTCATGTCTACATTATCATAATCAAACTGCTGGATCTTGTGCAGCATTTAGTCATTTTGACCGCATGAGGGCGATAAACGTCTACTAAACAAACCCTTTATCGTAATTTAAGTTTTGCCATTTAACTGTCACCCGTCCCCTCTGTGGGACGCCTAAGTTTACTTCACTATATTACAATAATCCTTATCTAATCATGACAAACTATATACCGTTGGAAAGGTCTAAGACTCCTAAATAATTTTTAACAAAAACATTGGTGAAATATCTATGTAGGAAAAGTAATAGATTAATTTATAACAA